CCACAAATATTGAAGTTGTAATATCACCAGAAAAGCATTAAAGCACACAAAATCATATTAAAATATGTACATTTACAGTAAAATGTTAATATAATCATCACAAATCCTAGAGAACAAAACATGAAAAATCTGTATTTCTGTGTTGTCGTCTTATTTAGCGGTCTTTAAGTGCTCAATATTGGTGTTTACCACAGTAGCTCCAATATCTACAGTTTGGCGTCATCGTCAGCATCACTCGATATTGGTAAATTTAATATAAATTAGTTTATTTTCTACTGTCGCAAGATAATTTTAATAATTGTATTTGTTATTTATAAAATAAGATGATTTTGTAAGGTTAATGTCTTAGAGCAAACCACATTCACAAATAAAGAGTCTGTGATGTACTGTAAACATGTACAGTACATTTAAAGTATTGTACTATATGTAATTTGTTTGTTTGTAAGCTTAAAATATATTCTTATTAGCCATATATTATTGAAAATGCATTTATCAATAAAATACAGAACTGGGAATGGTTATTTGTGGTTTAGCCTAGTGACAAGTAAATTCAGAAACAGGTAAATTTGACTTACGTCGGTTTTTGACTTAAGTCACCTCTCCTGGAACCAATTACTGACATAAAGCGAGGTATACCTGTACTTTGTTTAAAAAGTAAACAGAATGTATTTAATCTTCTAAATGTTCATTAAGTTTTCTTTTAATATTAATTTCTTCCTTTTTAAGGATTTTATCACTCAGCGAGACCTTTCAGCCCTCTTGACTACAATGTATGGCGATTGTGGAATTGGTGTAATTGATTCGTGAAGATGTTCTCTAATCTTAATTTTTAATGTTTTTCCCACTTCATCACATAGGGTAGGGGCTCCTACTGCCAACCACTTCCAGTAGTTGACCATGGTAAGCCAAAATCCATGTGCAATTAGTCTACCTGAACAGATTTAGGCAAGCTATCTTCACAGAAAGCATCATAAGATGATCCCTTTTTCAATGACATGTAAGAATAACAGGTTACTTCACTCATGGGGATGGGAAAAATTGTTGTGCAACACCTTCTGGTAGTCAACCATGTAAGTTTTAAAGCCCTGACAATACCTTAATGAAGGTTCTATGTTTCAGGTATGTATTTTCTACAAAATGCCTATTATTGAGCTGCTTAATTATTTTTCTGGATGGTAAACTATCAAAGCTTATGCCATCACTAATAATTTGCATCAATTCTGATATATGTAAATAATGAGGTTGTCAACTACTGGGTATACTGACTCCATAAATTCATATGTTCGACCGCAGTGGTTGAGTACTGGAGCTTGTGAATTTTTTCTGTGATGTGTGTCCATGACTGAAAATGCACATCAGGTCTCCCTTTCACAGTTTCTACATTTGTGAGGCTCTCGATGAAGTAAAATCCAGTTGTTGATTGTGCGACTATGCTGGTTGACTACTGGATCAGAATTAAAAGTGATCAACCACTGATGCATGTCAGCTTTAAATACCCTGGAATAACAGTCATTGGAATGTTAAGCCAATCAAAATCATTCAAAAAAACAGAAAATAAAATTAACAGTTGTATACAGTCGACCCCCCTATAAGATCATTGATTTTTCCGTTTTATCTGAATTACATGTTGTACGAGTCACTTAGATTTTACAAATATGTGAGCCATTCACAGTCCGGCACACGTATTTGTAAAATCTAAGTGACTCGTACAACATGTAATTCAGATAAAACGGAAAAATCAATGATCTTATAGGGGGTCGACTGTAATCCAGTTTTAAAAACATTGCAGGTGTCAGAGCATAAAAATATCACTAGTAAAAGCCAAATCCAAATACATCAGAAAAAGCATTCTGATAATTTCTGTTATTAGAGGCCAAAAAAATGTCTATCAGAGCCACATCAAATTCTGAAACAAACTAGTCTGATTCAAATCATCTCCAGCAATTCCATATACATCATCACATGAAGATGAAAGTCAGGCAACATATTTGTGTTGCCTGACTTTCTTCTTGATTTGTATTGACCACAACCAATTGCTACAAAAAAGAAAAGTGAATGAAAACAATGCAAGTACTATTGATTCCAAGTCATCAAGAGAGTTCATATTAGAAAAGGAAAGAGCAAAATGTTGGATCTGATTATTGCAGCAGGTGGTAACATTTGAAATGTTCACCAATAGTAGGAACCCCTTACAATATTGCTGTAACAATGCAGCTCATAAGTGTTCATGTTGTTTACTACAAAAACATCACATACAGTGGAACCCCGCTTAACGAACATCCTGTTAACGACCAAATCGGTTAACGAACTTTTATTTTGCAAAAATTTTGTCTTGGATAACGAACGTAACGGTATTTTGTGTCAAATTTTAGTTGTGTTAGGCACGTGCGAGTTAAGCATTGCTTTTCTGAGTGTACTATACTTCTTTTTTCAGTTTTGTGATTTATATATTTAATCAATATGGCATCCAAGAAAGAAAAAAGTCATAGTGGCAATAGAAAACGACAATGCACTATCACATTTGAGAAAAATTTTGATTAAAAGAATAAGACAATCAACTTTAGATCAATTTCTTGTTCCTTATGGAAAGAGTTTTTGTTTGTTTGTTAAGTTATGGCAATGCAACACTTGGGTGATTTGCCTAGGGGGAATGCCTTCTGGGAGGTGTTTTTAAGGAAAACTGGCCCCTATTTAGGCGTTACAGACGTGGAGAAAACCCGGAAAACTCCATGTGGTCAGCCCATCTGAGCAAGGTGCGAACCCACGAACGAACTCCCCGTGTTCAAGGTACGAAGACCACTTAGCCATTGGTGATTTTTTTTTTTTTACCGAAAGAGACTTCGACTCGAAGAATCTTCCAATGAAGTGTTACCCGTTATTTTTTTTGGAGGGGATTCCCCTTCTAAGCATTAAGGTTCGTATATCTCCACTTTTCTGCCACCAACTACAACAAACAAAGGTATGTACAGTGCTATTTTATTAAACAAAGTTTACATGTTTGTTGCAGTAATGATAGATACTACATTTTCCTACATTTTCATCAAAGAAAATTACTGTATATTACAAATTAAATCACAAAAATTTCGGAGATTAGAACGGATTAATTGCATTTGCATTAATTTTTATGGGAAAAATTGCTTCGGTTAACGAACAATTCAGTTAACGAACGGAGTCGCGGAACGGATTAAGTTCGTTAACCGGGGTTCCACTGTATATGAAGTTAATTCATCCAGTGGTCACTAACATAATTTTAATAAAGTCCAAGTACTGAAGAGGGTCAAGAGTAGAGCAATCTATTTAAATGTCTCTTGTCAGTGGCATTTTTAGAGTAGCAGTCTGCATAAGGGAGCACTATTATAAAGATCTATAAGGATCTATATTTAATCTTATGATACAGTACATCATAAAATTTGCGTAGTGTAAAAACCCGTTATCAAATCTCAAGAAATACCTATCAGATTAAAAGAAAACAACTGAAAATGATGACTGGGTCAAACAAGACAAAGAAGAAATGGAAATTGTTTGTGAACAACAAAAAACCCCGTTTTTCATAAAGATTTACTGTATTTTCTCCCTTTGCTTAAATGAAATTTAGAAGAATTTTACTACTTAAAATTACAATCTTGTAAAATGCATTATATAATGTTTGAAAAGAAAGCTAAGAAAATGATTACAATTAAACAAATTTACTTAAAGAAGTTTGTGAGTAAGGGCATTCACATCTTTTCAGCTAGGCACCCTACTGTAGTTTCACTTCTCCCCAGAAATAACGTGACTGATAAATCTATTGTATTTACTGATTATTCAGTAAAACAGAATATATGTAAACACAGCAAAATTATATGATAATGAATTTTAACATTTCTAAATACATCATAACTTATAGAGAACTAACCCAGAAGATATAAGTTATTTGCAATATTCAAATATCTCCAAGTGATCTTGTTACTTTGGATAAAGGAGCATAATACAATAATTCTTAAGTGAACTTGACCATACATGGAGATTTTTCAGCATAATATTTTTGATATTGATGATGATAATTTTAATACTTAAACTTAATTTTTATTTCTTCACATATTACAGCAAAGTCAAATCTGTTTTATAAACAATTGAATAATAGTTTCTAACAAGCTATTCTTAGATCAAAATTCTTTATTCGAAATGGAGCATTCATTAAAGATTAAGAATATAATACACACTATTCTTTTAGTTTGTATTTTACAAGAAAATGTGTTATAAATGTAAACAGAACAAAATTTCAATAAGTCTCTTGTATTATCAAAAGAAGAAATAATTTTTTTGTTAATCTTTACTTCCTTTAGCTTCTGCAGCATCTCCATTGGTTGCTCTATGCTATACTTGTGCAGGGGCATGCACCTGTTAATAAAGGATTGGCTCCTACAATATTATTAGAACAGAGGCTTAAGTATTTTATTAACAGGTGCATGCCCCTGCACAAGTATAGAAGAAATAATAATTGAAAATGACAAAGTATTAAATTGCTTAGAGAGTGAACCTAATGTCATTGTAATTTGCACGATTCGTGCAAATTACAAATGATCACGAATAGTGATTTTATTGATTTGTTTCAATTATTAAATATTACTTGGGCCATCTGTCATCAAAGATACCATCCTACTCTGCTGGATGACCTAAATTTGAGCCAATGTTTTGTGGGTGGGTTGATCCAGATATATTAGACTGCATCCTTCATCATGAACTATGAACCTGGCCAAACCCACAATGGGATGTAAAAAGACTATTCATTAATAAAAACATTTTATAAATTTCCTTTTTAAAAAGTTTCTTAGCACTAGTGGAGAGTTATGTTTTCCTGTAATTTTTGTTTTGAAAATTAATTGAAAAGCAATAGTAGTCTACATAGTAACAATAATTTCACTAATATTTAAAACTTGAGGAAGGGGGAAGTTAACTGTAAGAATAACTTTTATTTAGTATTAAAATTTCTATGTAACACAATTCAAAGGAACAAATAATGAGGGAAGCCAAATGTACAATTTATTTAAACATATTTGATACACCAGATTAGGAAAAATCTGGATTACCAACAATAAAAATCTGATCGGAAACTGTACAAAATGTCAATCACAATGGAAGGATGATGATTTAATAAATGTAAAAGTGGAAATGATAAATTTTCTTCTATAATGATCAATATTTACATGTCAATCTGTACTGTACAATATTGAAAAATCTGGTTGAATGCCATATAATGCCCCTTTTTACATTTAATAATTTTTTCTTTTTACATTCTTTTTCAGAATGGCATAATGGACAATTATGGAATTCACCATTTTGGGTATATATATATATATATATATATATATGCATGTACATATATGTATACATATGTGCATATGCAATGGATTTTTGAAAATATTTTTCTTTCATTCAGCCTAAATGATAAAAAGGCTAAATTCTACAATTACTTCACATTGTTAAATTACCACCTCGAAAATATATATATAAAGTAAATTATTCTAGTATTATAAAATATTGGCTAGTTGAATATAATGAAAGTTATCTATTGCATAATTGTTGCATATTGGCTATGCTCTGTTGGTTTTTTTTTTATTTTTTTGACATAAGTCAAAATTTATGTCTTTTTATCATAATTTACTTTTTTTACATTGGAGGAGATTAATACAAATTCAAAATGACATAATAAAAGAATAAAGTTCTTTTCTGTCCATAGAATGCAACTTGCTCTCAGAATTTTTTTTTACAAATATTTACTCGTTTCAAATTATATAAAATAAAAATATTGTTTATGGCTGGAAAATAGTGTTTCTAAATCTAGACACAACAGATGGTGGAGCAGTAAAGAAAGATATTTCTTATTCAATATTAACAATAAGAATACGAATACTTACAGCATGCAAATACTGGACATTTCAAAATATTGGGCACCCATCGACAGACGCCCTTTGGTTCGATTAACGAAGTTCACAACCATTTAGTTCTATACACCAGAGATCACAATTGAGCTACTAGATGTCTAGCAATGCTTCAATTTTCTATGTAATTGAATACATAACAGAAATTTTATTTTGTAGCAAGTCCTAAAACTTATCTTGCCAATTAATCATTTTTAAAAGTTTCTTCATTCTATTTTCCATATAAAATTACAAAACGATTACCGAGCCGATCAATCAAACATCGAAGGTCCTTCTACCTTAATTTATAAAGAAACTGGACAACTGTTTACACTATAATTAAAAATATATTCGGACTTTAACTTTTTTTTATAAAGTCGATATGGAAGTCCAAAAACATATTCTGTCGACGACGAAAGGAATGACGCCTGTGGCAGGGAGCGATTTTGTTCGGAGAATGACCGGACCAAACACTATTCATTCACTTTGTACAGGATTTCCTTTATCTGCCTTTAAAATCAACATTTTTTGGACTGGCAGAATCTATTTTTGGAAATTCTTGCAAAAGTCTTCTCACATTGGTCCAAGGAAGAGATGATAAAAACCATCATTCAAAATATTGGAAAAAGTGAATACTGGCTCTACAATCATTCATTCATGGTCGATGGAACCTACAAAAAACAAACTAAAATTTAATATCTATCTATTTAGAAATTACTCTGAATTTTTATTTTATATACAGTAGAGCGTCGATTTTCCGAATCAATTGGGGACTGGGGTTGTCCAGATAACTGATATTTCGGATAACTGATTTATGTACGAAAAAATAGTATAACATTTCCGATGTCGAAATTTTTCTCCGTTGCGTGTCGCTTCGCGTTGAATTTTCGTCGATGTTAAGCCTAACAAAGACTATTATATCGTTAAAAATTATTTTTTAATTTTGTACAAACGAAATAAATATATTGAAAAATATAAAAATAATAAAAAGTTATACTTCAGATGTTAATTTAGTATCAAAAACGTAAAATATTTGAGTAGCCCAAGACATAGCCAAAGAATGAAGCGCCACAGCACTGGCGAAAATTTAAATTTGCCGACTGGAATTCTTTCGGATGATTGACTTTCGGAAAACTGACGCTGTACTGTATATATATATAAAATAAAAATTCAAAGAGTTAAAGCATTCTACATAAAATGATATATTGAATTCAAACTTCATGTTTTAGGGATTATAAAGGTGACGGAAAATACATAAGGTATAATATTAAGGCAATATATGTAGTATGATCAAAAGTTTGGGGACTTGGCATAAAATTCCTTACCTTAAAAAGTTTACTTTGAAGGTGGTTGTGCATAGACAGTATAATCACCTTGGGCAATGATACACTTTTTCCAGCACTCATATAACTGCTGGAAGCCATTTTTTGAAACATCCTGCAAGGCCTCCTGCGATGCTGCTCTCATCTCATCTGATGACACAAAACGGCATCCCTGCAAATGCTTTTTCAATGATGGAAACAAAGAAAAATTACACGTGGCTAAGTCTGGTGAATAGGCAGGGTGTGGAAGAACATTAATTTGAGTTTTGGTGAGAAACTGTGTGACCATTTGGGACTGATGTGCAGGTGCGTTGTCGTGCAGAAGGTATCAGTCTCCACTTCGCCAGATCTGAGGCCAGATCTGATAAATGGATTCCCTCAAACAACATAAGATGTCTAGATAATGCTCCTTGTTTACCTGTTCTGCCTTCGGGAATAAATTCTGAATGAACAATTCTTTGAGAATCAAAAAATACCTCCATCACGACTTCCCCTTTGCTCCAATCCTGCCAGAATTTCTGATTGCGGCGAGGAGGGTGATTTCCATGTTGAAGAAGTTATTTGATATCCAATCAAAATGTGCACCATGTTTTATCACCTGTTATGATGTGGTTCAAAAAAGCTGGATTCTTATCGGCTTTGTCGATTAAGTCACCCTATATTCTCATTCGTTCTTCCTTTTGTTCAGAAGTCAAAAGCCGAGGGACAATGTGCTGAGACACTTGGTGCATGTTAACTAGTCTTTGATAAGCGAATAGCCACAGCAATTTTTTCAAGGGTTTGACAACAATCTTTGCGAACACATTGAGAGACCAACTCAACATTTTCCTCGTTCTGTGAAGTCAAAGGTCGGCCAGAGCGTTCATCGTCTGCAATGGATTCTTGGCCCTCTTAAAAACACCGATGCCATTCGTACACTTTCAATTTCACCATGGTAGAATCACTGTACACCTTTCTTAGCAATTCTAAAGTCTCTGTAGGTGTTTTACCTAAATGCTGACAAAATTTAATGTTGCAGCACTGTTCTTGAAACTCCATTTTTATTACATTGCAGAACAAAGATAACTATCTCTGGAAAAAAACAGCAGTGCTGGCAGTTTAGTCACGTGACATGGGCGAAACCAACTGAACATGTAGGAGTGGTTTGGTAGAATCCACTTCATACGCTGTAACTTCAAATACATGCTTTTGTTGTCATAGATTACTGCAGTCCCCAAAATTTTGGATCATACCACGTATAAGGTTAAAATCAACAATAATAATCTACAATAATATGAAAAGGCTAATGATTACCAATTATTAATATATAAAGCAAAACATTTATTTTAGTTTTATTCAATTCACTGTTTAATCTTAATTTTTAAAACAAAATAAATATATGTTTCTTTCATTTGGAAAAAGTAAAATGTTTTTAATTAAAAAAATTTTCAGCTATACAGGATCTCAGTTGTTCAATGAGCAAGAGATTGATTGAAGTTGAAAAAGCACTCCTTGTTATAATGCAGCAGTAAGCTCTTCCTTTATCTTAGACTGTGAAAAGTTTTGTAAACAGAGTAAATTAAAATATTCGATAGAATTCAGATCAGGGCTGCAACTTTATCATTCAAATAATTCCACATTAATAACTGCAAATGAACCTTTCGTTGTCGAAGAGATATAAATTGAAGCAACATATTGCCAGAAAGTCCGATCTTCAGATATAATAAATGTTGCAAGATAATTTATTGCCAATGCACCATGTCTTGATACTTTATAGAGTCCAGAAGTAAAGGTTTCAGCCTGTCACCTGGGATCAAATCTGAACAGAGAACTACAGGAATTTTTCATGGATAGCCTGCTCTGGGAATATATGGCTCCACCCCTACCATCTAACCAACCTGTGAAAAGACCCCACTTAGTGCTCACACACAGATAGAGTCAAAAATGAAAAAGAAAAAATACGTGGATTCTTGGCTAGTAAACTCAGTTTAAACCATAACATACCCCCCAACAAATTAGCACTTGGTGAAATATTTCTTTTGATCATGCCATCATGCAGTAAAGTTTAAAACCACCAAGTTTATCCACATTACAACCACATAGGATGACATGTTATTTCAGAAAGTTTTAATGCCAAACTTGGTGTTGCAAATTCCAAATGCACATCTCAGGATGCTTATGACTACATTACCGCATATTTTAAGTTTGAACTCAAAGCCAAAGTATTTTGTATAGTCTGCTTGTACAATGAAACTATATTTCATTAAAAATGTTATCAGCAGTTGTAGATGTCTTAAGACTAACTGCAAATAATTTTTCCTGACACATTAATGACTTTAGTCTTTTAGTTTTTCTTCTTCATTCCATAGCTGTCTGGCTCTTGCAGGAAATTGTTTACTATAGTTTTGCAACAATTAAGTTTCTTAGTCATTTCTGTTCCAGTTAATCCAGGATTTTTAAAAGCTAAATTTATCATTTTCCAATATCTAATGCTTCCTTTTGGCATTATCAATATTAAAACTACATGTAGTTTTAATATTGACTATTTAAAATGTAAATAATAATTGGGATAAAAGTAAAATTTGAATGCTGGTACAGAAGATTGCTAAGGCAATATGGGTTCTAATGCAATTTGTTGAATTTACATTATCCTATATAATTTACTTTTAAAGGAAAAAATATAATTATTTTCCACTGTTATTTAGTTCATTATTGAAACTGTTATAGTAATAACTGATAATCATTAGCTACATTATTTCATTTTCAAATTATTGTAGAAGTTTTTCCTGACATTATGTCATATTCATGTAAGGTAGTGGGAAAAGTATAATAGAGAATTTCAAAAAGGCAAATGAAGTTAATGGTTGAAATTTAAAATATTTTAAATTCCAATAAATTAAATATCAAGTAATTTTTTTATATCTGGTTTAGAAGAAATAAATTGATTATAATAATAGTATTTTAGAGCAATTCAATTTTTATTTTGATTCTAAATGCAGCCCGATATGTCCTATATTAAAACATTTCACATAAAATGCAGACAACCTGCCATATTTCCACATAAATAGGAGCATATTCTTATGTGAGAAGTGCTTGTTTTTTAGTTTTGAAACATTCTGTTCACTTATTAGAGCATGCTCTTATGTGTACCAGCACTGCTGTGTCAGTGTAAATTAAATTTACATTTAATGATACAGTAACTAATGGTTACTACAGATATGTCACAATATTTTAAAAATAATTCTTTTGATGTTGTTTTTAAAAAATTTTATATCAAGTTTTTAAGGTATTTTGCAGAATATAGTGCTGATTTTGCTCTAACTATAAAAGCATGCTCTCTTGTGTACAGAAATATGATAGTGCCATTATTACCTGGGTCATTTTTTAGAAATGGCAACATCACTAGAACTTCCTGACTATGATGCAATCAACCAACCCATGCCATTGTTGAATTTATGATAGTAATAGGCAGAGTTTACTGTCTTGGACAATCTGTTGTATTTGTTGGGGATAAGTCCTTGCAATTTTAACTTGTTCTAAAAGTTGAAGAAGTTGCCACCAAGTGGTTTTTTTCAACTTTCAAACTGTTCACATCCTCATCTCTGCACTAGGATGGTGCCTGAGAACCTTGTCAGAAAACTGAGTTGCAGCAAATATGATCAATAGCAGTCATTCATACAACTGGAGAATATATTGAAGGACAGCAAATGTCATTGTTAATCTATGCTTTAACATATAGCAAACTAGCTTGTTACACCTATTAATTGTAAATTTGAAAAATGTATGTGGTAAAACCGATTTTAAGAACATTATATGAATGCCTACAAACTATGTGGGAAGTATGTCCTCGTAAATAGCAAGTTTACAGAAAAATTATTAGAATTAGTTTTGTTTATTTGGTTACAGCAATGCAACATGTGGACAATCTACCATGGGGAATGCCTCCTGGGAGGACTTTTATGGGAAAACTGGCAGTTATTGCAGTGTTACTAATGTGAAGAAAACATGGAAAATTCTACATGGCCAGCCTGTTGATGAAGTGGAACCTACGACTAACTCATGACTAATTACCAGCATTTGGTGGTTTTATCCACTGTGCCATCAGTGGACATTTATTGAAATTAAGAAAGTACCATTCAGAAATTAAAAAGTAAATTGTTAGATGTGGAAAATTAAATACTTGAACAAGTGTTAAACTGAAAACTATACAACTCCACAGAGGTGAGTGTGCTACCCGTTGCAGTAATGATATGGCACGTCTATTTTGTGCTATATTATTGTTACAATAAGTGAATATTAAAAATTTTTTAAAAATTCTTTTTTGGATAAATTATGTTTAGTTTATTATTTTTAAAAATTATTTTGCCAATAGATTTCTACATGTAAAGCCAGAATATCGAACATACACAGAAATTAATTAATTAATATATAGAAATCCAATCAATATTTTTGGGTTTATGTATGGTATTATCTAAGTCAAAAGTAGATTAATGTAACTGCCACATTTCATACCAATTGATCGAACTGTGTAGGAGTGCATTGTGAACAAACATCCATCCTCATTTATACATATAGATAAATGCATGTTGCCACTTTAAAAAATGGCCTTCACATAATTAACATTATTAATCTGCATTACACATTTATGGGATAAAACAGATTTATTTTTTATGGAAATTTTAAGCAATTTTAATAAAATTGAAAACTGCTAATATCAATAGTCTGTTTTGTAAAATAAAATTTTATATATAATTAATCACAAATAAGAATGCAATACCTTGTTAAATGACGACTATCTGCATGTACTTCCATCTCCATACTTTTAAATTCATTTAGTTCTTTTCTGATGGCAGCCTGTAATGGTAATATTTTTTTTAAAAGAAATCCAAAATTTATACAAGTCTTTGAAAATAAGAAGCACAATATATTTCTAAATTTTCCTATGACAAAACACAACTACTGACAGATTTACAGAAAAAAAAGCAGAATATTTAGATGCATTTTTAATTTAGATCAAGCATTCCCAAAACTTTGACCTCTCCAAAGTTTCCTCAGCCTTTCATTGACCAGTCCCTCCTCTTCTAGACCATTTCAAGGAGTTTTATGTTAATCATTAATTAACTTTTTTTGTAATTTATTGATCCAGAATGATGTAATTTCTTATAACTTCCTGCATTTTTAAAATTGTCATTAATGTATAAAGTATTTAAAAGCAGAAACTTTATTAAGGCATTCTGATAAACTTAAAACAGTATTATAAAATAGTTTTGGATTTATTTAATTAGTTTTTGTAGTAAAATAATCAAATAATTAATTTTTAAAAAATTATCTCATAATAAGAACTATTTTATCATTTTGTTCTAAGCAAACAAATATATTATTTCCAAACAGATGATTAACACAAGTTTTAAGTCATTTTAATAAGTAAAGAATCTAGCTTCATTTAAATTCGTTTTCATTGGAATAATTTATATTGTCAAAATATTAAAAAATTACCTTGTCTCTTGGCGTAAGACGGGTCCACGGCTTATCGGCACGTCGATCATAATCTTGTGCCTGTGTCACTTCGACATAGTCATTAAAACGAATAATTTTTCTTTCCTTTAATTCCTCAATTGTAGGTCGAAAACTCAGCTAAATTAATATATCAAAACATTTCAAGCTCATCGTTTGAAAGAAACTCATAATATATTATAAAATTCCACTTTAACATAAAACTATTAAAATCATAGAGATATTGTTTTTCTAAATCAAAATGCATTACTTGAAGAATAAAAAAAATTATTTAAGTCATACATAAAACTAGCACTTTATTTCCCTGATTATTTCTTCCATAGATTTGTGACATTCTTAAAGAAATAGAGCAATTAGAACATTTTTTTTTCTATCCATTTTCTTTTTAAATACTTATCTTGAGTTACCAGACCTTCAATTTATGGTTATGTACAATCTTCAAGATAAGTAATTTTGTTTCAAAAATGCTTTCCAATCTGAACAAAAATCTAATTCTCTTCTAATAACTGATTTAAAAACTTCATAAGGCTATAATTAAATAAAAACAAATAGTTCAAAATGTTTCTTTACAATAAATGTTGTGTGTCTATTCAATTAGAAATCCAGGAAATAGACCTTTTATTTAATTTTTGTAATATAAATATTAAAATTTGGATATATTGAATAAATACCATATTTATTCTAATAAATTGTCTTCTAATAGTAAGTGCACTGTTTGTTGGGGGAAGTAAGGATTATTATAACCTGTATGAATTTGAGATCTAGAAATAATTCTTTATTAAGCACATGATATTTTCCCTAATGGTTCCAGCTAGAGTCAGGCAACTGAAGTGTTTTTCTTCTGCTTTTAAATTTTATCTTTGGATTAAAAGTAAGATTGGGGGAAAGTTCTAAATATTTTGACAGTTAAAATACAGGGTGATTGTGAGTTATTAATTTTTCAAAATTTCTATGACTTTGAAACTATTTACAGTAAGATGATGCGATTTTCATAGAACTGCTCAGAAAGAAGTGGGATTTTTTTAGGTATAATAAAAATTTTAGTACCAAAATAGTTACATTTCTTGCCATAGATGGCACTGTAGCATCTGTAAATTTGTTAAGAATAAAAAAATAATGTTCTTAGTGTAAGCTCTTGTAACAACTACACAAATTATATAATCTTATCAAGCACCATCTATGGCAAGAAATTAACTATTTTAGTACTAAAATTTTTATTTTACATAAAAAAAATCCCACATCTTTATACTACTGGATATAATGGGTTGACCTAGCTGCCAAATCAAATCCAGAAGCTGAATGCACAAACTTTACAAATTTAAAAATAACTTATCTGCTTGAATTTTGATGGAAATAATTTTTTATTTAAAACCTGAGAACTGATTACCAGTATTCAACATTGTTAATAACAGAAATAATGAAACTACTGAATTAAAGCAATTAAAAACAAGTATTATTTCCTAAAACTAAAGATTTTTTAAAATTCTCCCAATCTTATTAACTTCTGATGCATGTCAACTGTTGTAACTGATCGCTTGGCATTATCATAGTGTAAAAAGAACAGACTATAACAGTAATTTTTTTGAGTTGGAGTGATCATCACTGGTGTGAAATAATAATGATAATATTAACATCGTAAGTGTTGTTATGGCCAATGTTAAAGTTGAAAATATGCCTTTCATCATGGCAAGAGTTATGTTATAATATATCTTGTGTGACTTCAGGAAAGCTGGAGGCAGTGTTTTTTTTTATATATTAAATGATGTAATATAATTGTACTGAATTCATGTAACCATTACAGATTTCATATCACATATCTGAATTTGTTGACATTAATATGCCTATTCACAGGACCTATTTTGCATAAACCAATAACAATGGGATTTGATTGCAATTCAAAAACACAAAATAAATACCATATTTATTCTTCTAATGAACAGTGTCTTCTAATAGTTCACTGTTTATCAAAAGAAGATAAGGCTTATTTAATTAAACTGAAAAATTGCACCTTCTATTTAGTATTAACACATTTCAACATAAGGTAAAACTGACAAGTGTTTTGTTGTTTAAATAATAATAATAATAAAGTGAAAACTTACATTTATTCCATTAGTAGACACCCTTAAATAATAATCATACCCAATTTCCAAATAATATAAATAATAGTTGTCCTCTAAACAGCACAGTTGTATTGAGAAAATTTATAGACAGCACATTGTTCATTACAATAAATATGGTTAATTGTAACTAACACATACAATTTATTTTATTTATTTATTTATTGCAAAATTACAAAGACAGTGATTGCCATCCCAAAACAAACAATGAATAAAATGCTAATTAAAAAAACAAAAAAGGGAATACAAACAAAAATATTAAAATACAGTGGGTGATCGGTTAATGAACATAATCCATTCCAAAACTTTGTTCGTTATCCGATTATCGATTTACCATAGGTTTCTATGAGAATTTGATTAATTCATTCTAGAGACCCCAAAAATAAAAAAATATATACTTTCTTACTACATTTATTCATATGTAATAATAAAAATACATATATATACGGTCTTGCATTTTTATTAGTCATATTTTTGCTGTTTGTGGGGGTTAAAGGATCTGTCCAATGTCTATTGCTTTTCTGTCTTCTTCATGACTTTTCAGAAGTAATTAATAGCATTGTAATTGTAGAGATCCCTATGCCTATTAACTTCAACCTGGTTTGGATGCCATTTTAAGACCGTTGTTCTGACATCCTCCCACTTCTTCAAAAGATCTTTAATAGCAGATATCAACATAAATTGCTTTTTCAGAAGAAAACATAAAAGAATTGATTCTGTCAGAAATATAAAAGGCTGGAATTACAAGGGAGAGTTTCAAAGTTTGGGAGAATACTATCCGATCAGTATATACTGGATTGAATGTCGTTGTGGACGTCTCCCGCACTCCGCAAAGTTTCGAATTGTTGCTTGAAGACAAAGGAAGATCAATCAGTATTTGTTATTTTACATCGCTTCTTCTTGTGTTTGTTCAGTGAAGTGTTTGTTGTCCGATTATAAAAATCTTACGCGAAAGTTTTCGTTAACCGATCACCCACTGTATAAAAATTCAACAATAAATGCAATAAAATTTTTATATATAATGTTTATGTAAAATTAAATGTTATTCAATGTTTTGTTTTTTGTTTTTAATGTATCAATTTATTATAATGTAAAATATATATATATATATATATATATATATATATATATATATTACCTTTCTTATAAGCATTTTCTTTTTCTGCTCTTTTTCTTTCTTCATTTCTTCTGGAGTTTGATCTAAATGTAGTGACAAAAAAATTAAAATCAGATAAACAATGGTACTGATTTGAAACACACTTAAAAAGAAAAGAAAAACATACTTTTCAGAATATTCCTTTGTTCTAGTTCTTCTGCTGTTGGCCGTAAACTCAATCTTCTACAAATTAAAAGGAAAGTAAGTAAAATGAAGATTAAATTACAGTCAACCCACCTATAACACTGTTGATAATTCAGTTTGATATGAATTCCATGTTGTACGAGTCCTTAGATTTAACAAATGTGTGCCAGGCTGTGAACGGCTCACGTATTTGTAAAATCTAAGTGACTCATACAACATGGAATTCATATAAAACGGAATTATCAACAGTGTTATAGGGGGGTTGGACTGTAGTATTAAATCATTATAAGTTAGTTTTTAAAACAAAAGTATATTTGCAATAAAATTTAAAATAAAATTTGTTGAAAACATATTGAACATAAAACATTAGTTTATATCAGATTGTTTTGAATTTTGTCTATTATACTGCAAGTCTTAATTCCAAATAGTTACCACCAAACTTATGTATTTATGTATGCAGGTAGCTTTTTGTATTGCTCTCATGGATAAGTCACACAAACTGTATCTGCATTATGGAAGAATATTTATTTTGCAAGTACTTTCTACATTTTATAACTGTCCTCTTCAGGCAGTAACGTTCATAGAGAACAGAACATTTTCAGATTGTTTCTCATGCAGGGATATGGAACTTACATAATATATATTAAAAAACTACAAAATTATACAATATTAAAAATAACAATGACATACAATAAATATTTATTAATTTATTTATTACTTATTTATTTTCATATTTTAATACTGTTACTTTTATTATTATTATTTTTTGTATGTCATTGTTATTTTTAATATTGTATAATTTTGTAGTTTTTTAAATATAGTATGTAAGTTCCATGCCCCTGCATGAGAAACAATCTGAAAACGTTCTATTTCTACAATTCAAATGTTCTGTTCTCTATGAACAATATTGCCTGAAGAGGAACAGTTATATCATGTAGAAAGTACTTGCAAAATAAATATTTTTTCATAATGTCCATCTAAAAACAAAGTGAATATATTAAAAATAAATATTTAGACTATATAAATTTCTAAAATATACAAGATATCTTTGTTTATATGTAATATAAACAAAGATATCTTGTATAATTGTATTATCTTATATAATCTTATATATCTTGTATAATTTTGTAAGACATCTTAAACAAATTTCTAATATATTCAATAATTATAGATTCACCAGTAATATTTATATAAACATATAAATATTAGTGTATGAAAAATTTTTAAATATATCTATAAACTTTATTGCTATAAAGATAAAATGTACTGTACTATACAAAAGATAAAACTTTTAAAATTTATTTAAGGCCCAAAATTCAATTAAAGTAGTTTACTAGGTACAGTAGTAGTCTTATTTAAACTTAAAATCACACAGAATGGATAGAACAAAAATCTGAATAAATTCAAAATCTTTACAATCAAAAATTTACTTATTGAAAAACAGTATGTATGAAGAAGTAATATATACATATCAAATGATTGTATCTAATTGATAATTTTAAAGTAGATAATTTTATTCCATAGATGAATTCAAGTCTCGTGTATATATACATATACAATATACTAAATTTATATCAGACATATTTTTTCTATTATGTCAGAATGTGTGTGACCCTATTCTTATATCAAAAACTCTGGCTCAATGTCAAACACCTGAAATAACTACTGCATTATTTAAATCTTGTCTTAACACAGAGAATATTTTTAGTACCTGTGATATTCTTTTCTGAGTAAATATTAAACTGGATCTTAAAATTACTGTCACTACTACAGAAATCTTCCCACATTACATCAATTTTAAAAATTTAACTAGTATAATATAATATATTTGCTTCAGATGAAAAGCATTTTAATTCCTGTTTAAAATGAAAAGTTAATTGACTAAAATTATTATATTAATGAATTAATGAAGAGTTAATTATCTGATATTAGAATTTACTTTAAATACTATGAAAATTCTCATAGTAAAATTTATGTAATAATAAATAAATATAAACTATTGTTTATTTTATGTAAGTGTTAAAATTCTTAACAGCAGCAGTTTAATCCTAATAGAATCAGCATTTTAGCAAGTGCTTTTGATATCACATTGTTTTGGTTATTTTTATTATTCTTTTATCTGTTTTTTTTTTAATCATAAATATAAATGAAGGATATTGATGTTATAATGTTCAAATTTTAATACTTGCAAATTTAAATGTGTTTGTTCATTTTTGGTCAAATGATTAGTCAAATAGAATTTTTTTCAACTATTCTACATTGTCTGAAGATTAAAGATGTCAATGTGATGTTGAAAGTACTTGCTAATTTTCTGTTATTTCTTAAAAATTCTATTTTAATGCCAAAAGACAGCATTGGTTATTATACTAAGTTCTACTGAATTTGGAACATAGAAAAAATGAGAGCAAGTTGAGAATTCTTTCGATATAAGCCTGAAGCGGGCCCTAAGCAGAGCTGAAAATGTTTACTTATAGTATAATTTGGTAACAAGAAATGTTATACAGCTGGAAAAGTATGCAAGGCTGTTTTAAGTCATTGGTTATTTTGTATATTAAGTAATAATAATATAACATTTAAACCAAAAGTAGATATATAAAATTCAATTTAATTTAAAAACCATATCATAATATCAATAAAAAAATTATTTGCATATTAATCAATGCTCTTTATATGGCTATTATAAAACTAAAAACATTTGAGGACCTTTCTTCCAATCCAGTATAAAATTCCAATACAACACAATTTAGAGTCTGATAGGAAAAGACAATGCAAATACAGATGTGATCTGTCAAGGGTGATGCCTTTTGAGAGGATGTTCTATGGGTAACTGGTCCCTATTTAGGTGCTAGATATGTAAATATAACTGAAAACTCCATGCAACCAGCTTAGTCAGAAAGAAACCCAAGACCATCTACTATTGTTCAGTGGTTTTATCCCTAAACCACTGGTGGTATCTAAACTGTACAGAAGACATTTAATTATCTTAATTTCCAATGTATATTACAGGAAAATATGGCCAAGAGATTGAAAGAACCTGGATAATATAAGGTTTTAATATAATTTGTAATAAATGATAAGAATGAAATAGCTGAGAGGAATGTTCTTGATGAATAAGTTTAGCTATATTAAATTCTTAATAAATCTTTTATTGAAATTAAAATTAAAAGTAGCATATTACTCCTTAGATGTGAGGGTATTTTACTATATTTACTGGTCAATCTCAAATGGCCAATGCTTCTACTGTAGATTTCCTTATGAACCTCAGTTAATGACAGTAAAACAATACTAGTCCCTTGTCCCATTATCTTAAGATAAATAAAATGTTAATTTTAACATTTTTAAGTGGGCACAGGAAATATTTAGCTGTTTAATGAACCAGCTAAACAAAAAAAAAATAAATAAGCTTGGGAGAACATAGTTACAACTACTCTATTATATGAAGTGTGCAATGCCGTACAGCTTATATTTACATCATTTTGATATTCCAGAGAATTTGTAACCTAGTGAGTTTTTAACCATATCATTATAAAATTGAAATGAATTCATTCACTAGAAAAAGGTGGTTTTTTTGGCATTTACAACATTATGGTATTGCATGTTTCATAGATTGTATCCTTGTGTAAATATAGGACAATTTTACATTACCATATGCACTAGTGTCATTGTTTAGCAGTTTTTACATATATAATATTGTTAATAATTGTTTATAAATTTTTTGGGTTGATTTATAGTTGAGAATTTGAAAGTATTCTTCAGATTCCAACAAATTTATTATTTTAGTATTCTCTAACAACTAGCTATAGTATCAGATTATAGGATCGCTTAAGAGTCTCATAGATTACATATTATAAAATATTAAGATGATAATAAATTTTAATATTATTATTTTTTAGCTATTCAATATTTTATGCTTATATAACAAAAACAACATATAAGCTGAACATATGTACTGAGTGATCACTGAATTATGACCAATGCTATAAAAAACAAGTGCAACCTGTTAACCAAGTGAGTTTCACAGGTGCATGCAATTAGTCTACCTACATGCATATATAAGACATCAGTGGTTCAGTAGGTACAAAAATTCAGAGCATGATGGATAAAAGAGTTTGACAAAGGACAGATTGTGGGAGTTTGAAAAACTGGTGTCTCCTGAATTTCCTAAGAGACTGAATTGTCAGAAAGCTTTCATGATTAAAGTGCACCAGAACTGTCATCAAAACAGTTATACAATGACACGACAGCAAACTGTAAAAGGTTGATGTTGGTGAGCACTAAGTTCAGGGCAGCTTGAGGAATAGCGGGCCTGGCGCAAGGTTGTCGCGCTTGGCCTTTTAATAAAAAATATAGTAGTTTTGAACAACAAAATAATATTTTAATGGTAAACATACAATCCGTTAAATAGATTAGCAAAAGTTATTTAACATAGAGAATAATGAAATGATCAATTTTTAAATTTTGCAAGAGTTAGATCGGGCAGGATCTAACTCTTGCAAAATAAGCCTTGTGTGGTCACACCACCCACGGGTTGGTCCTGACTGGGTTCAATGACTAATACAGACATAACAATGACTGTCCAATACAACATGTGCCAATCAGAATATTATTTGGTATGACCATATGTTGCATGCTGTATAAACACATGTTGCATATGTTTATCTGTTATTGGTTGTCTGCTGATATAATCTATATCTCTTCTAACAAAGGTTCATCAGCATAAAACACTTGCCTGGTGCAAAAGAGTATGCAAATTGGATGTTAGACTAAAAGAAAGTACAGTGGTACCTCAGGATATGAAATTAATCTGTTCCGAAACTGAAATTGTATCATGAAAATGTCGTAAGGTGAATCATTTTTCCCCCCATATGATTATATGTAAAACCAAATAATTCGTTCCAACACGAAAAACTTGAAGCTAAGTAATACATTAAAAAAAATAACTATAGTAAGGAAAACACTGAAAAATGCATTTTGTAGTTGTAAATGTATAAATAATC